TACTATCCCCCCTCAACTCTCGAGAAGAAACCTGTCTGTTTTGCATAGAATAAAAAACACAATCAGCAAGGTTAGTAAAGCACTTTCTGATTTTTTTTCTAAACAAGCTAGCTGCCTAACGATTGTGTACTTGTAAACAACTAATGGCAATTCGTCATTTTTCAACTATCTGTTTAATTAACCAAATCAGACATTCCAAAGTGGGTCTTAATGTAAAATGTGATCGACGAACCAAATATTTGACTGTAAGGTATCTCACGTATATTGATACACTTAGTTATGAAAAGCAAACAAGAAATCCACAGTTGATTTAACTCAAAACTAAACAAAAACATTTATAGATCGAAATGAATATATTTCAGCAATATTAAATCTGTCTTGACTGTAACAAAAGACGTTTTTCAAAAATACTCAGGATTTGTTAGAGTGACTCAAACTACCTTTATCCCGCAACACTCATTCTACGGATGGTTTGTGAAATATGTTAAAGAAAATCTTATACCTGTTTAATATCTGAGATTTTTATAAAAAGTTCAAACACTTTAGGTCAAAACTATCAACATAAATCTTGTCCTATGAAAAAATTTAGTGTGTCTGTAGTGTGTGCTACTTATGTCGTGAAACATAAGTAGTATGTAACACCAATCGGAAATGGAAACCCTGCCAGTCGAGGGCTAAGAATATCAAGTAGAAGAGAATAGAAACGAAAATAGAAAAGAATCACGAATAGGGAGAATCATACAGAATGTAAAGGACGAATGAATGAAATTTGCAAATGAAGTATTTAATTTATGGTTCTCATATTTTACTAAAACTTTCTGTAATCCGGTATTAAAAGACACATTGACAGATAATTCCCATTTAAACATTAAAGAATTCAAAACATGAAGTTCATCTAAGGAATCTCTTTTCAACGAATTTATTATCATGCTGTAAATTTTTTATTGTTGTAACAAAAACATTTTAGTCATCTTATTACATTCACTAAATCTATTGTTATTATTCGTATTACGTAATCTAGTGTCATAATCCCCTATCACGTCATCTTAGTTACTCGTGCTCACATTTACTCAAGGAATTAATACGTTAACAACAATAAAATTTTTATATATATACGATTGTACAGCTTGATAATAAATTCGTTGAAAAGAGATCCCTTAGCTGAACTTAGTGTTTTTAAAATACTTATGTCGTCCCCATTTGTGTGTTCGTTCATTACATATCTAATACAACTGTGACCTCATTATCAAAGAAGCTGGAAATTCTCAGTAGAAACTTAACTACAGATACGATTGTTCAGTTTAAGAAAACGATATCTTCGTAAAAAAAACGGGAACTTTTCTTCACCGAAACATCTTTATTCTTCTTGAGACAAAATTCTTTGAGGCTCTTAGCAATGGAATATCATTTCTTATATTACAAATATTAAAATTATACTTAGATTTGTTATTCTGCTACGACAAACTCATTAAATTTGGCTAAATGCATTTTAAACAAATTAAAGTTGCTCTTTTCCAGAATAGTGAATGAAATTATTATTTTTGATTGTTTTGTTGTCGTTTTTTTTGTAAGTAGCCACCGTTTGATCAGGGAATGATTCTAATCTGGTTTTTGGTACTATATTCATAAAGAATCATGATCTTTTTCCCCATGAAGTTACCATTTGAATTTTAATTAAACATTTTTTAAATTAAATATAATAATGATTTTTCTTTAAAAATACAAAACAGAACTGAATAAAAGACTATTGTGAAGATACCAACTTCAAATGAAATCATTATTAACACTTTGAAATCCTTTTTTTTATATTTTTATAAAAAGAAAACACACTTGACAAAGACATTTTTCTATCACAAATACTACTTATCACCAACCTTGTTATTTTAACCAACAACAAAAAACTAGTTATCTACTTAACTTTTAATTGTTTTGTTTAAGTTATATATTTATTATAACTAAGTAAAATGATAAATGATAAATTGAAGAGTATTTCTTTTTATATGTATATGAAAGTTTATAAGTACTGGATATCTTTTTGGTGGTGGTGGAGGTGGTGTTGGAGGGGGAGAAAGGTTTCAAGTGTGAACACAAATTTTCCACTTATACATGTCAATTTAATCAGTGTTAATTATTTGTTTATAATTTTTCTTTAAATGTAATAGTTTATTAAACTACCATTAAATAACCTTTTACTGATATATTTTCTTTCTAAATAATTGGAAAAAATTTGAAATTTACTAATTTTATTACAACGATAATCAGAACTCAGTTGCTAAGCGGATAATGCGATGACGTTTCAAATGAATGGTATTGAGTTTGAGTCCCAGAGTGAATATCAACTCTGTGATGGAGGTACATTTAGCTGACGAGTCGCAAATAGGAAGAATTGCGCGTCCTGAATTCCATTGCTCGCCACTGTCCATCTCTGCTTATAATGCTTGTGAACTAAGGCGATATCGAGGCAATATGCACAGTATACACATATGCAGGCCCCCAAACGCCCTGATACGGTCAAGAGTGGGGAGAGTTAGCTCTCCCTCTCAAAATGCTCTCACATGGCCACACGCATACAACCACTGCCAGCGAAGTCCTACTCACTGGCTTCTCAAGGCGGGGGTGTCTTTTACGAAATTGAGAGGACAAAAAGCGAATGTCCGGTGCTTTAACCGGGTTGGTGGACACGGTAAGTTCACCTAGGGGAGTTGGAAAACCCTCATTCCAAACCAATCGCTCACATGGGTTCCAATATCCTGAAGGAACGAATAGCGTATGGTCACCGGTTACCATGGAATTGCACCTCTTGACGTTACTTCACCGCCTTGTGCATCAGACCTTTAGGTCAAAGGCTTCAGGTGTAGCCCCCTAAGAAAACCACCTGCTCCGGTTCGGGCACCCGGTCAGTATCCCAGCCCCTCACACAAACTGAATTATTTATGTGGCACATATCTATTTGGTGCCTCCTTGTACTAATGATTATATGTTTAAGTAATAAATAATGCACATATGCCAATAGGAGATTGATCAATTGTAGTCCTAAATATCAATGGGAAAATTCAAGTAAACAATGGCAAATGATAATCAGAAAACTTAAAGGAAATGTTCTCATATCTTCCTTTACATGACTAGAATGTTATACATAAGATTGTTTTTTATAATTTATTGACAAATATTCATTTGAATTTCTTTTCTGTTTCTGTTTTTCATTTTTCTTTGTTCCTAAAAATAAAAATAATTTTGCTCTTTCTATCGGTTCAGTATGGTAAAAGTTAAATAGTTTGTTGCTATGCCTTATTTATTTATTTATTTATTTAATGAAATAATGATTGGTTAGTGATAAAATCTAAAAAGGAAATTCCATAAAATTGTTCCGATGTATTTCGGAATACTATTTTCTGGAGGAATTTCAGTCTAAAGAGATTATCATCTAGACTAATTTTAACTGGATTACTTATGTCTGTAATTATCCAACTAGATGACATGTTTTATCTTTTTCTAAAATTGATATTAGTTCTTTCATATATATGGAACTGCATTTTGCTTTTTATCGTTAATAAAGACAAAATATTGATCGAGGCCTTTTTTTCTCATTACATTAAATTAACCAAATGAAGTAAATTATGCTTCAATGTTGAATAACTTAAAATATATTCCGAGTCAGAAACAAGACAGCATAGCATGATTCACTATCCAACGTCATTTATTATCAATCAAGTTATAATTTATTTCAATGACATCTTGAATCCACAATGTTTATTGTTAAAAAGTACTTCCTAGGAGGCACAATAAGAATTGCGGTACAAATAGATATAATTTATTCTGGGAAGACTATAATCAAAGAAGTATAAAATGAAAGATGCTACTTGTATATCGGTTATTTAACTATAAGTGGCAGATATCTGTTTTTCAAATTCACTCTAAGTCAAATTTTCACTTTAGATTTAGGAGGAACAAGACAATTAAAACCTACTAAGGTTTCACTGATAGTTTGTAATATTTTAGTTTCTGACAATGATTATTAAGTTTTGTGAATGTTGGAATTGATGCATACGAAATGTTTACAACTCTAAAGATTTCACTTGGCGTTGAAGGTTTAGACATAGTGTACAAGTCAAAAGCACTATTTATAATCAAATTTTAGCATTAAAACACTATTACCAGTGATCTCTGGAAGTTTTAAACTTGTCACTAGTTTTCATATACAATTCATTTAAACAAAAAGAAAATCATTGAATAGATTTAATTTATTATCTTTTTAATATCATAAAATTTAAACACCAGTCGGGAAAATCATTCATACTATAGTTAACAATGTCAAAAGTATCTAATAAATGTTATCAATACACCATCACTTACTAATCCAAATCAAATTTAATAACAGACAAACAAAATTGTCACTGGTAAACTAGTTAATATATCTGATTATGTAATTTAGTTAGAAAACTATACAACAAAATATTAGAGATTTGAAAATAACGTAGAACAGACTCAAAAATAACTCAATACAGTAAATATATGTTTTAACTTTGATTGATAAAAATTGATTACAGATGAAGAAAGTAAATGGAATAAAGGTGATCATTATTTATTCAATGAGTTTCATACTACTCAATAATGAAGTCAGTAGTATAACTGATTGGCACCATTATTGGTTAACAGTATCATACATTAATTCAATACATTCTAGTTCTAAATGATTTTCTGGTTGAAATTAGTCTATGCTAATAAAAATAGTAAAAATTATTAATTACTTTTCACATAGCCAATCCCTTACTTTAAAAATATTCATTCTGATGATGACTTGCTTGTTATAGTAGTTATTCTGTTCTAAGCGAAACTCTAAATTATTAGTTCCCTTTTTTTGTTAAATCTTGTTTTATTGAGCGAACGAACTACATTTCAGCAAGAAAACATTAAATAACTTTAAGTTAAAATGTGTTTCCAGTTATTAATGCGCTCGATGTTTTTCTTTTCATTTTTATGTACAATCTTATTTCCTGTAGTTAAAAACTCTTCGGAGATTACGAGTTGCCGATACATTATGGTCAGGATCGATGGCTGACAATTTTCGACCAACTCAAGCTATTAATAACCGTTCAGTTCGGACGAATATCAATTTTCGTAGTTCGGTAGGAATGTAGTCGTTTGATAATGTTTTATTATCTGAATAATTAATTCAAATAATAGCAACGAATTGTAATGATTCTCTTCGAATAAAATCTCTTGAATCTTAAAATGAGGGCCCAAAATCATAGTTTTTCAGTTTAATATGGCACTATAAATAGTTGTGAACCCACTACATAAAATAATATTCCTCATCCAATGTGGAATATGTTCAACTATACTATGTAAGATTCTTACTTTGGATCCATTAAAGCTGTAGTCATGTTTTCTAGAATTGTCAAACCTTTCAGAAAACATTCTCAAATGCATTTAAGTTTTTTAGTTTCGTTAATAAACTTCTGGAACTAATCCATATCATTCGTATCGTTTCTTATCAAGCCCAATCATTAAATTAGGATTATTACAATACTATAATAACCCTCCACCTGACCAATACAAAATAAGTAGAATAATTAATGCGAACATCGATAATGTTATCTCTGAATATATCTGAATTGCAATAAGTGATTAATAACTTTTAACTGTATTCATCTAGTGAAATAAATGTAATCATAAATGCTTTCTAATTACCGCTAGTTATAAGTACTATTACACAGGATTGGGAGTTTTCAGGTTATGATATAGATAGTACAATACGTTTTGATCATTAAACAACAATAAATAAGAACTTTCGTTTAAATTTCAACGAATAGTTTCACAATATTTGGGCGCCGAGTTAATTTGAGACATTAAAAAGAAGAATATATTTGTAAAATCTCAGCGAATGAATTTTAAGTAAATCCAACGTTTCGCCTGGCAATCTGGTCCAGGATTTTTCAAGGAAAATATAATCAAACAACAAAATTATCGAATATAAATAGGTACATGGTTCTTCGGTTTACTGTATACTGAATAAGTCATTTATTCAACGTGAAGGATTTTTTTATATTCGATAATTTTGTTGTTTGATTATATTTTCCTTGAAAAATCCTGGACCAGATTGCCAGGCGAAACGTTGGATTTACTTAAAATTCATTCGCTGAGATTTTACAAATATATTCTTCTTTTTAATATCTTAAACAACAATAGTTTAGCATTTTTTGATAAATAATATACGTAACCTCAAATCCAATGAATTAAAGTTTAGAATTTATATGGACCAAATATTTTAAATGCATTTGTGGTAATTCATAGACAATTAATTGTTTTAAGGTGATTTCTTGGAATATACACCAGATAGTTCTTAGTTGAAGATGAAAACCGAATACTTATTATTTCTTAAGTCAAAATTACTATAAAAATGATAAGACAAAGGTCATTAAGTAACAGTTCCAAGTTTTATCAAAAGACTATGAAGTAGATTGACACATGGTTTCTTGCTTCTACTAAGCAATTAAAAGTGAATCCAGAATAAAATGTTTTAAGTAGGAAATATCTTATTTGTGCGCATACAACACATTTTAGATTCATCTTAAAGAGTGTCATTAATCATTAAATTATTTCCTAACTCAACTATATACAAGAGCAATGCAGATATCTGCTATAATCTGATGTCTATCTTCAATTCTGTCAACTGTTTCTTGGAAATTTATCGTACTCCTCTAACATTACAATAACACATTTACCTTTTAAATTGATAAATTAATTACATGTTAATGACTTAAAAAGGAATTTATTCATTTACTTTATACAAAATCTTAATAAATCTCTTACAATGAAATACTTCTTAACAAACATTTTGACTCCTTATCTATTCTTTTTTAAAATGTGTTGCCAACCTAACAAATTTTTCCTCATATCTCATACATTTAAAGTTTGTGTTTCATTTATTTCTAATCTGTTTTGACTAGATCATATCATTTTTGTTTCTTAGAATTTCAAATACCTGCTTTAATTTAATTTAATTTTGTCTTGACGACAAGAAAATAATAATGAATCCATTTCAATATGTTTACTTCATTGTCTACATTTCTCTAAATATATTCAATTTGTTATTGATCAATTCTATTTAGTCTATAAATTGCCAAATCACCTAGATGTTTTAAATAACTAGTAATTCCAAGGAAAAATTTTTTGAAAATAGATTAGCTTAAATTCACTTAGTATTGTTTACTTAAATCTTTCCATTGATGTTTAGGACTACAATTGATCAGTCTTTTATTGGCATATGTGCATACTGTGTTTAATGCCTCGATATTGCTTTAATTCACAGGCATTCTAAGCAAAGATGGATAGTGGTTAACAGTAGAATCCAGGATGTGGGTTTTGTCCTATTTGAGACTCGTCAGCACTCCACGTTTAAGCTCCTTCACACTTTCTGATTACTATTACTATGAGGAATGGAGTTTTCCAGGCTTCTGAGGTGATATATGTGAGCAAACTAGAATTCCTATTTCTTTATACAAACAGAGTATATATAAACAAAGATGGATAGTGGCTGGCAGTGGAATCCAGCTAGATGTACCTGCTGACGAGTCTCAAATAGGACGAAACGCGCGTCTTGGATTCCGCTGCTAGCCAATATCGAGGCAATATGCTCATAATTTAAAGGCATTCTTCAGCATACTGTGATCTGGAAAACAAAACCGTTGTCTACAATATAATGAGAGCTACAACTACTACCCAATATTTCTAAATCAGCTCTACATACTACTTCAGTTTCTCTAAGATGCAAAGCTCAACGCTTTTTGTCCAGAATGATGAAACAATGTTTCCATAACAAAATGATTTCTTAAATATACACTCGTTATAAAATTCATCTGTAATGGTGAATTTGCAGACACTACTGAGAGAAGTACAATGAAACTCCATATTTACAGGACCTATCTTTTAGCTGTTCCCCGTCCATTAATATTATGTAATAAATAATCTATTCAATTATCATTCTCTTAACTTGTATTAATCTTATTTTAATTATTAACGTTAATTTCTCCATTTACTTATTAACGGTAGAATGAAGCGTGTGATGTGCGTAAACAAATTTCATATATTGGTAAGCTATAGTTATCCTGGAATTTAGAATATCCTATATATATATATATAATTTATATTCTTCTATTAACAAAAATAAAGTTTAGTCAACATGGGGTTGTGGAGATTGTCGAATTTCATTGAAAGCAGAAACCGATCTATGTTAGACAGCCACTGAAAACCTCGAAATACTGAACGGATGTCTCATTCTCCTTAACACTGCAACTCTACAAACTCGCAACCGGGAATTGAACCCAAGACTTTAAGTCACGCACGCGAACGCTTAAGCTCTTGATCACTGGGCCGGGATTCAATAGTGTGTAAGTTTAACTTTGATCAACCCACAACATCGAGTAATAGCTCTTAATACTGTAACAAGAGTACAGTTCATTAGTTTAGTCAACATGAAACAAGTAATAATTCTTCATTCAATAAAACCATTTTAAGCTGATGAGCTGTTTTAGCTATCATAATGTTCAGTTGGAAGAATACAAAGAGCAAACAGAACAAGATATAGCTACACGTCATGGATTCATTGACTGCTAACCTGAGCCACGTTGAGAAGGACAGATTTCCTAGTTTGCATCTCCACAATAATCGTAGTATATGGTTCAGAACTTTATATGAAGTGGCCAAACAATTTTACCCCTCAATCTCAAATATTCATTCTGAACCATATTTTTCACGTTTAGCTTTCCACTACATTTCATATGAATACCGACTCGATGCTTCTGAATTTATTTATCTCCATTTTTTTGGGAAGTATGATGACTTAGGAAAATTCGTATTCATCCTTGGTCAAACATTGCCCCATTATGGGTTGACTACATAATAGATGAGGATAACTTCTGTTAGCGGGATATAGCTTTGATTAAAGCATGTTCTGTGAAGGATTGTGTTGGAGAACATTGATTAGCCATTTCTAAGACAATCGACGCAGCATATACTTGGAGAAAGATCCAGAATCTTTTCGTGTAAAATTATTAATATACTAGCGTCTTTTTCCTAATGTGACTCCTACTCCCATTCAGTATTGTTTATATATATATATATATGATGGAGAATATTTCAGCTCAAATAGATGCTTTTGATGCCCTTAAGTTTTCTGAGTTGGATAGTTTAAATGCCGACAACATTTTCAGTGAAAGGAGGAGGATAATCAGCTTTGTGTGACATCGGTCCTCACTTGGAACGCATCTGTTAGCTGTCCTCCATACACCACATTGGATTGTAGCCCATCGTATGAATTTGGGATAATGTTGACGATCTTCTCAGGTACTCCATAGTGTCGAAGAGGTTTCCTTAATGTTTTCCTATCTACACTATCAAATGCCTTCTCCTAGGCAATGAAGTTGATGTATAGTGACGAGTTCCTTTCAACTGACTGTTCAAAAATGATCCGTAGCGTCGCCGTTTGATCTGTGCACGACCGACCCCTACGGAATCCAACCTGTTGATTTCGAAGTTGGGAGTCTACTGAATCTTTCATCCGGATGAGCAACACTATTGAAAACTTTTCCTGGTAGTGACAGTAGTGTGATGCCTGTGTTTCTCACACTTGATCAGTTCTCCTTTCTTTGGTATCTTGATGAGGTGTTCTCTCCAATTCACCGGCGCTTGTACTTCCTCCCAAATCTTCCTGAACAGAACGTGGAGCATGTTTGCAGTTACTTCTATGTATGACTACAGTGATTTATGTGATATATTGTCGGGTCCTGTTGTTTTCCCACTTTTTATTTGTTTAGTGACCATCTTGATTTCGTCGATGGGATGACATTTATAGGAAGGTATGTGTGTGTGTTACTTCGATGTCCGGTGGATTCAATGGATCTAGTCTACTCTAAAGTTCCTCGATGCATTCTACCCAGCTGTTCCTCTGTCCTTGAATCTCAGTGACTACTTTGCCTTATTTGTCCTTGACTGGTCGTTCTGGCTTGCTATATTTTCCTGCTAGTTTAGTTGTCATATCATACAATTGTTTCATATTTTCTTCTCTTGCAACTTATTCCGCTGTTATCGCTAGGTCTTCCACACATTTCCGCTTGTCGGCTCGAATGCTCTTTTTCACTTGTTTGTTTGCTTCTGTGTATTCAGCTTATGCCTTGGCTTTATCTGTTTTTGTTCGACTGTTGTTAATTGCGGTCTTCTTGATCCTGCCAAGTATTTCAACAGATACATTGTGCATGGTGTTTCTTGAAGCCCAGAACCTCCTGGCACGTTGAAGTCTGTGCTTCTTTGATCCCTTTTTAGTTGTTCGCCATAGTAGCTTCCTCTTTTTTGAGTAGATCTTGTAAGGCTTGAAACCTGTTGCTGGGATCTAGAATTCGTTGAATTTTTCAGTATCTTCAAGGTAGGCTGTATTAAACCTTTGTAGCACTGTTTCTTCAGTTGTCTAGTGCTTCTTTAGCTTTAGTTTCATCTTGACAACCGATAGGTAGTGATCCATATCAGCTCTTCTCCTAGTTCTCATGTTTTCCATTGATCTGAATTTTTCAGTGATGCTGATATGGTAGATCTGGCTCCTTGTAATATGATCCGGTGAGACCTATGTAGCTTTGTGTATGCGTTTGTGGGGGGATAACCACTTTGTTGAATGCATGCAGAGTTGCAAATCTGTAACCTTCCTCGTTTCTTTCTCCCAGTCAATCCATGTTGTTCCGTGATATCTTCATATCCAGTGTTGTCCATTCCGACTTTGGCGTTCAGATTTCCCTTCAGGATTGTCAGATCTTTTCCTGGGCATCTCGTTATGGTCGATTGCAGCCTTTCATAGAACTGATCTTTATCGCTGTCATCGCTATCGTTGGCGGGTACTTTACATTGGATAACATTCATTGTTTCCCTCCTTCTTTGCTTTGAAAGATGCTACGGGGATCTTGAAATGATAAGATTCCTATTCTATAAATGTTTTTCATCATTCTTTAGACAGCATCACTGCAGCGTCCTGTGTGTGAGAAGCATTTTCTTCTTCACGACCAGAGTACAACAGCATGTCTACCAAATCTAACCTTTTCTTTCCAACTTGGGTTCAATGGGTTTCACTGTTTCCTAGAACCGTCAAGTTGTATCTCATTTCCGTAACTATTTGATTAGTCCTCCCGGTCTCCCACATTGTTCGGACATTCCATGCACCTATATGAATTGTTGCTCTGGTCGTTAGAAGCATCGGACTCGTGATTCTCGAAGAATCTCGGCTTTCACCATGAGTAGTCACAACTCTTCTAAATGAAAATTTTTCAATTCCCAGGGCAGAGTTTGGATGACTTTTCTGGTTAGCGTTTTTTTAGCATGGGATGGGGTTACCGACCCCATGATCAACTCTCCTCCTTAATACAGGCTTCAGACCGGCAGTAATCCTAAGAGCTATAGGCGGAGTTCAGAAAACTTAACATGTATATATATGCATAAAAATACATAATTTTACCTCGCCATTCGGATAACTGATAAATGTTGCTAGTCCTAACAACAATGAAAAGTTAGAAGAATGCAAGTACAAGTTATTTATATAAATTCACTTTCAATAAAATGTCTTCTCGCTAGTCGAAAGCTTTATTATGATGATTCACAATGAATAAAAATTTTCAAATCAACAAACTTCTGTTTTTCATAAAAGAAAATTTTTCATAACTTGGAATATCACTGGAAAATTGTATAGCTGATTCATATGATCATTTTCATCGGTAAATTTCTTGTCTATCACTAGTTAAACAACAAAATAAATATAGATCTCGAATCTACCCAGTACTAAGTTAATTACTAATAATAACAATTATTTTCAGTTACTTAATGACAAAATATTACATAAGCCATAGGTTGTGCATTTATTTCTATTTAGCCTGTGTTTATTTCAGCTAATATTGCACAAGTTTGAAGAAATGGAATTCTGTAAAACGATATTTGAACAAAATCAAACTGGATCGCTCCTTTCTCCTGTTTTGTTTTGCCTTCCATGAGAAATAATCAGGGAAAACCCATTAAATATGAAAGGCGATACTTTTGTTTTCTTTAATAGACTTTAAACTAGAACTCAAATATATTTCTATTTGTATTATAATTGCTTAATAACTTTATTAGATTTTCCTTTTTCTATAAAGAACATTTTATCACCATTAATATTGTGCATATTTATAACTTATTCATTAAAATTATTGGACATAGCAATATATACACTATTAAAAGTGGCAATGCATCCTTGTTTTCTTCCTATGTTTACTATTTTCCATTGACAATAAATATGTTTCTGGATTAGATCTTCTTCTAATAGAGATATATATGGAATTACACGTCAGGTGTAGATGTAGAACCCTAATTGATAATCGTAACCCACGATTGAGCCAAAATCGGTCTCAGTGGCACAGTCTTATTTATATTTTATAGCCCTGACTACATTCAGCTTAGATTTATTGGATACTTTTCATTTTTAGGAATCATTTGTAAAATAATAATTAACTCTGTAGAAACGTTATTTTGTATACACGCTTAACTTAATCCTCTGATGTTTTTGTTTGTCAGTATGTCTGCCTATCGGTTGATTTTCTTATTGCTTTCTTATGTCTGATTTACACTTCCAGATATATAGGTAGACCAAAACGCACTGTTCCATAAACCTTAGCATTTAACTCTTGATTCTACGTTGTCTGAAGAATGGTATATGAGCAATTTGAGTCAAAAAACATCCCAAAATGATAATAAACTGTGTTTCTGAAGTTACTTCAACGGCACTATAGCAAACAAATTGGCTGGCGAGTCAGAGTTCAGTTAGCACAGAGACCTAATGTTTTAATTTCAAATTAACTGAATTTTCGCCCAAAGACCTGTGGAATTGTCATGCTTTTTGCATTCATTACTTATGTTTGTATTTCTAGACAGTCTAGGACCTTATCATATTTTATATCGTCCACTTTGACTGAAGTACTGTTACTGTTTTCCTGCATTATCGCTGACAAATTATCTATCCATACTGTTTTCAGCACCAATCTTATAATGATTTCCCGGAATACATGTTTATGAACTACAGCCAGGTAAACATGAGATAGTGATAGATTAGTATTTATAAACAGGTAAAGAATCTCTCTCAAAATATTCATCTTATTTTTTAACATTTTTGTATTCCACATGTCTCTTGGAAATCAATAAAAGTATGTAGGGACGAAATGTATTTGAAAAATCATTTGATGTATGGAATACGCACATTTTCTTATCTAAGAGTTATAAAACAAATGTGTTTTGGTATGAAAAACCAAGTTTTATTCTACACAACTAGAATACATGAATACAAGATACTTTCAAGTAAAAATAGCAACATCTAACTACGGTGGTCAGTAAACTAATTAGATTATTTTTATTATCACTCACCAACAAGTCACATTAAAATGTTTCTCTGGAATAAACAATTTAAAAAATAAATAAATCATGCATAAACTGTCACATTTTCAGAACCTATTGTCTCAACAAGGTTAGTTTATTTTGCTGGTGAAATTATTCTAACTGAAAGAGCTCCTCTCCCTCACATCTTTCTCCCTGCAGTTTCCAGCATTCAAACTTGGCAGAATAACCACTGTAAACCAGTGTGACTTGCAATCATGGGGTCCATAAATTGTACCATCCCTCAGGTCCCTGAATAGAATCCAAAATTTTATGTGTGGGTCTCACCCAAGAAACCTCTATTAAATCTTAAAGGTCAAAATATCTTTAACTGATTAATAAAACTGTAAAACCCGGCGACAATGGTCAGAAATATTTATAAACTAAAAATTGCTGAAAACTTCATTCGACGGCTTGTGTTAATGAATAAATTATTGTGGCATTGAATTAGAGATAGATTATAAATCCACTGCAGATAATGCTGGCTAAAATTTTATCGAAGTTTGATCTCAGCTAACTCAACGAATTGTTGTACCACCACTACTAGCTGTAGTGATTACAACATGGATTAAAAAGGTCACTGTTGTGTAGTTGTGTCGAAATTACTATTAGAACTACAAACAAGAATTCACATAATATTGAACGAATGTAAGATAGATTAAAACACCATTTACGACTCCAAATGAATAACTTCAAGGAATCATAAACATGACTATTATTAAAAATGGTTACATTGCCAATAGGATCTACGTAAAATATCCATAAATCACATTGAATATACCCACAGATCTCAAATTATTATCTATATTCACAAATAAACACATTACTTTCGCCGATGTTCGAGTCAGATAGAGCCAGACATGTGTGATATGCTTTTGCATCTCAAATGAAATATCTTACTAACCCGGTATCAATTGGCTGTTAATGAGTTTGACTCAGTTTTAACTAAGGCTAGTTTATTTCACTTTACCAGATATTTGAAGGACGTTCATTAAACATCAAATGAGAACTAGAAACTGATAAGCTTTATAAAACTTTTTATAACTTGCAAACACACGATCAATTTCACAAACAATATGTACTAAGTACAAATATATAACATCACCGGTCCTATAACCACTTCCATATCACTCTGCTTTAGACTAAGAAAAAAAAGCAGATGATAGTGTGGTGTATGCTACTTATACCGACAGATATAAGTAGTATGTAGCCGCAATCGGAAGTGAAATGCCTGGTAGCAGAAGGTAAAATTAAAGAGAACAGAAAGAAAATCGAGGAGCAATAAAAATAAAAACAGAATCAGGGGAACAATCGAACAGGTAAAGGACAACGCAAAGATGTGTCAAGGATGAATTTAATGTATGGTTTTCATATTTTACTAAGCCACTGTATAAGTTCACTTTAGAAAACAAACTGGTCTTCCCCACTTGTTTTTTTCACTACAGTAGTACATGTTGGCAGCAGTGAAATCGAACAGCTCAGACGATCATTAGGAAACCAATCAGTCATATACAAAATAATACCCCATATGCCCTGGTATGGCCAAGAGTGGGGAGAGTTAGCTCTCCCTCTCAAAATGCTCTCACATGGCCACACGCATACAACCACTGCCAGCGAAGTCCTACTCACTGGCTTCTCAAGGCGGGGGTGTCTTTTACGAAATTGAGAGGACAAAAAGCGAATGTCCGGTGCTTTAACCGGGTTGGTGGACACGGTAAGTCCACCTAGGGTAGTTGGAAAACCCTCATTCCAAACCAATCGCTCACATGGGTTCCAATATCCTGAAGGAACGAATAGCGTATGGTCACCGGTTACCATGGAATTGCACCTTTTGACGTTGCTCCACTGCCTTGTGAATCAGACCTTCAGGTCGAAGGCTTCAGGTGTAGCCCCCTAAGAAAACCACCTGCTCCGGTTCGGGCACCCGGTCAGTATCCCAGCCCCTCACACAAACTGAATTATTTATGTGGCACATATCTATTTGGTGCCTCCTTGTACCAAGGTTTATGTGCTTAACTAAATAAAATAAATACCTGGAACAAATATGTATCGGTCCAGGGACGGAATAGTTAAGATCCAAGCGTGATACTTATCCTACGTAGATTCCACAGTACTACCACTAATCTGTCGAGAAGATATAATGTGGGGAGACAGAAAAACTGATTATATGGCAAATATTTAATCTATAAGTGGAGTTAATATCATTAGAGGTCAATGCTAAGAACAAGATAGTGAGGAGTTCAGCTTTAGTAAAGAAAAAAAGTATGAACAAAGACATCACACGCCAGTACAGCTTTGTTGGTACAGATTTTTAGTTTTATATACTATATCCATATCTTGAAATTGTGAAAAACAAGCTACACTTTTGCATTCTTAAATGCTAACGGCCAAAGTCATGACCTAAATCCCTCATTTATCAAGAAGCAAAAACCACTTTTATACATTTTATACATTTGATAAACGAAATAGATATCAAAACCCAATGATATTTAGACGAAAATGCAGCATTCCTAATCAGTGGATTCAATAAGCACGGTTTGAAGTGAATGACTAGAACTAACTCCACAAGTTAAAGTCATCAGAGGAGTCCAGAGTAAAACACTAACAAGCAACGAAATAAAATGAAGATACTATGTTAAATATTGGTAAGAAATATCCAGTTAATTTTTTCCATCTCGAAGTAAAAACCCAATAATCAAAATGCAGTTTGCGGAAAAGATAAAAGATACCCTAATGAAAAAAGACCATTCGAAAGTACAATATTGTAACAATTTATCCCCAAAACCTTATCAACAACTGATATTTGCTAAGACTTTGATTAGTATGAAAATGACCAACTACCTAGAATTCTGTTTTTATTGTCAAAAAGTTGCTTCAAGAAAAATTTATAATAAATTGACTGCTTTGCATCCAAAAGTGACATTGCGAAAAATTCAAGGTAAAACGCAGCACTCTTTGAGTTGCAGTAATTTATAAGTTTTACACAGAATAATAAATCATACATGTTCACAGTTGTTGAACACTACTGTTGTTTGGAAGATTTACCATGCCGAAGATTTTTAAAAACAGTTATTCGACTGCGAACATCACGATCGCCAACACTTTCAGTGTTGCTTGAACTTTGACGAGTTGCTTCTACACGACTTTCTAATAAATCTGGATGAATCAGTATGTCGTCCATATCCATCCGTAAACTTTGAGCCTATAAAATAGAACAAGAACTTACAGTACCATAATTCGCAGATTTGAATTCTAATCCACATGCCGAATAAACTCAATGGCAAAATTTAAATCCTAGAGTCAGTACATAAGTAAATAATGGATCCTTTGAAGCTTGAAAAGCCAGGATTATCAACATTTTTACTGACATGCTTCAGAGAATAGGACATCTATCATCCTTAAAATACTCTTACACATTAGAATTAATACCCACTTATATAAAGCGAACTAGTAAACGAGCCAAACGGTTAATTTGACGCACACTATAACAGCATAAAACTTTAGTAAGCTACTCTAACTTCCACTGCAAAAAGATACATATTTTATGCTACAGCACTAAGACCTAGAGAGATGTTCAGCCACATGGACCTCTATGGCAGTTAATACAAACATGTTAAATGAACATAATTGTATATTCATTTTGGAACACGATATTTAACTGAGAATGTAACAGTCAAATGCATTTGTTCAATTCTACCGATTAAATTATGCCCAGTTGTGTCATTAATTCGAATGCCTTATATGTGAATCAGTCAGTCAGCTACAACGTAGGACCAGGCACATATGTGCATCGGTCCAAGTTCCCATACCTCATTAGCACAAGATGAACGCCGGATTCATAGTACTTAAGTCAATTGTGGTAATATATAAAAGGAAGATTGCATATAGGGGTATAGTACAGGAAGAAAGAAATAGTTGGTAGAAAGAAAGATATAAAGTAATTTTAATCTCATCGTTTAAGAGGAGACAGAGAGTGTATACACCTACGCCACTGTGGTCGATTCTGAGCCTATCACCAAGAGTCTCCAATCATTGGTTACGATTATATATATATATATATATATATATATATATGAACCCTAATATTCCTTTTGTTGGTTGTGTCTATCTATATAACCGTTGGTCTTATTCTATCATATTGATCTATAAATACTTGACATGCTAATTGACGCCAGAGAACTTGTGTTCATGTCACTATAATCCAGATTAGATCAGTCTAGTTTGGTCCTGGATTTATTATAATACAACATAATTGCTGGTTATTCGGTTACCACTGTTAGTTCTATTCTAATACAATTACTGGTGACCCTAAATGTCAGTGTTAATGTAAACGCACTACAATTACAGAGGCTTATATCTGGTGTCCATGCAATACTAATTTTATTCCAGTCCGGTTGTGCCTATTCAATCTAATCACATCTTCATTTTTTGCTACTACTGTACATGCTAGTGAATCCAGTTACTGAAATATATATTTCGATAATGATATTAGAAGACGAAGATTATCAGAACTATGTGATATATTAGCGCAATACATTTCGAACAATCTGGTCACACATATACTTGTTAAGAGCATTTATGTATAAAAATAAAAGGTGAACTAGACAGGAAACGGGGTAAGAGGAGATAAGGATAATGATAAGAGTAATAATAATAATAATGTGAACACAAAGCGAAACCTAATCACTCTGGTAATATTGACTTATTATCCAGAGTGATTAGGTTTCGCTTTGTGTTCACATTATTATTATTATTACTCTTATCATTATCCTTATCTCCTCT